AGGGAGGGAGGGAGGGAGGGGGAGAGAGAGAGAGAGAGAGAGAGAGAGATTACTCCGTGACATTTGACTTTTTTGAATTGAGTTATTAAGCAGCACAATTTATCTGAGAAGATAAATCCTGATGTTGATATGAAAAAATGGTGATGGAATAGCTGCTGATATTTCTCCTGAGAGTATTAGCAAGCCAGAAATGAAAGGAAATTTTGTTCTATCTCTTTACTGAGTTTCTATTACCCTCAAGATCTAGACATCTGCTTTGCTTCGTCTGCCACCAGAGAGCCTTGATCCCAGCAGCTGCCATCCCGTTTAAGTATGCTGTTTATCAATCTCTGCTGCAGTCTGCAATAGAGAAAACACTTAAGATGCATCACAACAGCACATATAGCCAATGCAGCTGCTGCACACAGGTTTACACAGGGTTGAGCGCACAAGAGAGAGGAAGATTCGACACTTCTCTGTAGCTCTGGAGTTGCTGTTTATAAGCAGGGAGTTTGGCCTAGAGCACGTTTCTCAATCTCAACAACTTTAAGATGTGTGAACTTCAACTCCCAGAGTTTTCCAGCCAGTTGAAAGGAACACATCTTACACTTGGTGAGGTTGAGAAACATTGCGGTAGAATTTCAAATCAACCGTAAGCAACTCAATCGAATGACATCTCGCAATGTCACCATTCATTGCAAAGATCGCTTGGAGGTAAGAGGAACTTCTAGCGTAATTTACCAGTTGGGACAGACGGGGAGGAATCTAACTACCAGATTGCAAGAACATGAGCGAAGGTTTAGATGAAGAGACCCAAATTCATTGGTAGGCCTCACATTGCAATGAACAAGGACACACATTCAATTTCACAGCTACTAAGATTGTTGGCTGAGCAGTACAAAAATAGCCAGGAAAGGACTGAAGCCTGGGAAGCCAGCCACTTGTTAGTCAATAGGAGGGCTAATTTACCACCAGCCTACCAGGTATTTAGGAGCCGAGGGCACAGCAGCACTAGGAAACAACCAACAACTTAATAGCCAGCCACCAACACTCCAATTAACAACTAAAAACAACATAACCACAGACACAACATAAATACTATGCACAGAACAGTCCAGCGCACATGTAGAGAAAGAGCATGGGCTCCAGCATGAGACCAAAAGCTTGGGACACTAAATATCTGGCCCCGGTGACCAACTCAGTTGGATTCTGCATGATATCTAGTTTCCAAGATACTTGGAAAACATGGAAAGCCAGCTATTAGAAACAGAATGCCATCATGCTTCAGAGGAGGAACAATATAAGAAAGATATTTGTCCCTCCATGGTATCATCTCTTTGGTATTTTGTCACCCTCCAAGACTGGGGGCAGGAAAATATGAAAAAATATTTCTCTCCTCTCCCCTCCAAAATATTTTCTCTGGAAGCAGTGCCAGGAAAAATTCACTAGCACATAAGTCACCATATTCAGTCATCAGACTCACTGTGAACAAATGGTATTGTGTTGTTGGAGTAATGAACATCCATGTTTATCCCACACGT